GATGAACCTGGTACTCAGTTGGAAATGCAGAAATCACCTGTCTTCTGTGTCCGTCACGCTGGGAGCTGTAGCCTGGAGCTGTTCCTATTTGGCCATCTTGTATTTATTTCCCAACAGATTTTTTTTTTTAAAGTCCCTGAGGTTGCTGACTCATTGCAGACTACTGAAATATTTCAATAAAGGGGAACCACATGAGCATTGAGCAGGAGGTGGGATAGGAAATTAGAGAGTGAGAAGGAGCATTAGGATCAGGACAGTACCAAGAAGGTATGTTTGGTTTTACACGTAACAATCAAGGGTAGAATGAGGACTGTAGCTATGTAGTGTGATACAGTTTTCCCAGTACTTCATCAAGGACTTAATAAATTAGTCTGCATGTTTTTTGTTGAGAAATGTTACTCACTTTAGTTACTGTTACTGTGATACTAATTTCTACTTTTTTTCTTCCACTCAGGACACACAATGGAACCATTCCTCTATTGTGGATTTAACCAGCAGCTAAAAAATTTATAAAGCCCAACTCCATCGAGCATGAAATAAATTCCTTCTCATTCACTAGTAGTTATTGTTTTTAAAACTTTCCTGTATACTTGGCCTTTTGAAGTGCATTTCAGGACCGTGTTAACCTACTGGAAGACTCCCTTATAAACATTAGGTGAAAAATTGCAACGAAGGTGACAGACCACAAGGCTACTACCATAATTACCACACCTGAGACACTTCCAGATAGTTTAACAATTCATTTTTCGAGGTTTTTGGGTTTCTTCCCAGCAGAATATATCTTCCCTGTCTTAAAACTAAAGCAGCTAAAATGTTGGCTAGGCCTGAGGCTCATTACAACAACTTCTTCGCCAATATTTTTCAAATGATTCAGAAGCCAAGCGTTCAAAGTCTTAATTTATTTGTGTGTAAGAGAAGTGTGAGGGTTTTTTTTTCCATTTTGGAAAAACAAAAGAGTTTTTGAGTTTCAGAAAATGTTGTATTTGCTTGATCCATACTCAAAATCAACATGATGTTCTGAAAAGAAAATGATTTGCAATTCTTAGCTACAGGATCTGGGGCAATATTTCCAGATCATTTTTTTCAGAATGAAACAAGAGAATATGAATATTTTATATGGTTGAATAATCAGGGTGGTTTCTGGTGTTGGGAGTTTTTATTTTGAAAAACAAAGCTACTTACTCAATCTATGGAGAAATTTGGAAAAGGAGGTATTTAAGTTTCTAAACTTCTCAATCTAAATTGAGGAATTTGTGATTTTTAAAAAACATTCAAACCCATTTTGTTTTCCATTTATTTTACTCTTAATTTTACCCATTCGCCCAAGTGAACATCCATCATTTGATCAGAGAAGTCTGGTATTAGAAAGAAGCTACCCTGTTAATCAGCACTTTCTTTGAAACCTGGTAGTCACCTGACTCAGCAATAAAAACAGCACCTCTAACAACTACAAATAGCATGATTCAGTGAAAAATCCTGGAACTATTTAATAATATTCCAGGATAATAATACCAAGGTATTCTAATAACATAGTATTCCAGGTTAGTAAGATTAAGGTATTCTAATGACATGAATTTTAGGAGGGTGGCTGGGTTCCTATTCAGTAACATATCTATGATTTACACATATGCATCAGAAAAAGCAGGTGAGAATTGTGCCAGGCACCTCCCAGGGCACTATGATGAATGACTGAGCTTTTCCTGACTCCAGTGTTCTGACAACCAAGAAGAAAAGAGAAGCTTCTACTCACTGATGTGGATAAGTGTAATATTAAAACTGCAGCAATATTTGAAAACAGATTTGAGAAGACATTCTAGAGTAAGAGAAATGGTCAGGCACCATCTAGGCAGAAACAAAAGTGTATGCATTCAGACAGGGACAGATATAACATCTTTCATTGACTCCTCTCCATGCTCTTTAGATCCATTTCGATTTCCCTCCCTTTGTACCTTTCACAGATCCATTCATGCCCTACTCATCCTTCCAGCCAAGTCCAGACCTTTCCTGAAACCCAGGCGAATGTCTTTTGTTCTACCTCAACTCAGCATGCCCCATTGCGCTTACTATTCATACAGAGATCATGAATTTACTGGCCTGTCTCGCCCCAATTCTTCTCCCCCACTATCCTTTTCCAAAATATAAAACAAAAATGGTCCCAGGTCAGCATCTGGCTCACGTGAATGCCGATAATGCCTGAGTGGAAGAATGAGAGAGCGAAGGAAGGAGATCCCTCTGCCTCTCCCTCATGGACCACACAAGTGCACCGGACCCAGCGCCTAAAATCTAGACTGAGCCTGCTGCCGACTCTGTGTCTTTGGGCAAGTCAAATTCTCAGCCTCGATTTCCTTAGCTATTAAATGAATATCTCTATGAGTACTTTTTTCCTGAGATGCTGTGATTCTTAATAAACTACCTATTAAGGTAAAATAAACTATTTTACCTTAATAAACTACCAGCTAAATTGACCCACCATGATCCCTCTCACTATTTGAAAAACGAGGAGAGAAAAACTTTTCTCCATTCAGTGTGTGCAAGGGTGAAGAGAAATAATTTGGTAATTCTTTGATCTTCTTGGACAAAAGAACCAAATAGAAATAGAGAGAAAAAAATATTATTATTTGCTTCTTTGTGCTTTGGATTGAAGTTGACCCTTTCATCTAAAAAAAGAAAGGTCTATAAAATGTCCTGTAATGACTTCAGAAAGATGACAAAAATGTCACAATGACTGGGAGTTTTGGTAGCAGTAATAAGTCCTGGTTGAGGTATTGCAGGTACAATTAAAGCTCATCAAGTCTTTAAATCTATCCCTTCATAGGTTAACCTTCCAGTTCTTAAGAACCAGATTTCATCACTACTTTCCAGGATAGGAATGGATGAATGAGGGGTGGAGCACCGGCAGGAAAGTTGCTCCTGCACAACTCCCACCATAAGATGAGTTGGAAGAGAAACAGATGATGCTCCACGCCATCTTGGCTCAGGAAGCCAGAGGATCCTGGAAGATGGCTTTGCTTCCAGCCAATGCCCATGGCACAGCTCTTCCTTCCCCTGGCCCATTATCCAGGATGTGGGTAAACCTACATCATGTGGAATTATTTCAAGACACTAAGCTCTATTTAAATATGGCATATTGAGGGTCTAACCTGTGTGTCCAGTTTCAAATGGAAATGTTGATTCTAATAATGTATTTTATATCAACTCTGTTGGAATCCAAACTCTGAAATCGCTAGTGCCTAGGAAAGATGGCATTGGTAAGGAGGAAGAACACAGGCTTCACGTCAGGCAGCACCCAGCGTGAATTCCAGGTCTACCGGCTGCCATCAGTGTGACCTTGGCCAAGGGCTTTACCTCCCAGTCTCTCTGTCTGAACGATGAGAAGCACGGCACCCAGGCATTTTTGTGAGCAATCAACAAGATCATGTAGGTAAAGGGTTTCATATAATGTATTAAGATCTCAACAAATAACTGCTTTTATTACTTTCATATTATCAGTGGGTATCACTACACTTCCTCAAAATAATTAGACGTTCATGATTATAGCTCATATATTTGAATCTCTGTTTCTCTTAAGTTTATGAAGAGAAGTGGGTTAGCCTTTAGGGGCCACTGGGTATGAAAAGCACGTACCTCGAAATAGAAGAAACACTCTTAGCCCAGAGAAGTATGTACGGTGAAAGGCCTAAAGGAAAGGCTGGCCTCAGCTCAGCGGCTCGTCAAGGCATGGCCACACTGCACGATTCCCCCATTCCCCCTTCCCTTCCTCCCTTCCTCTCCTCCTTCCTCCCTGCCTTTTTCTCATTTTATCTTATTGCTCTTGCTGCTGTTGGCTTTGCAACACTGAGTACTTGCGCCCCTGTAAGTTAACTGCATATTTGTAAATCACAATCTCTCCTTTAATTGTCATGTAAGCCGACAAGGGAAGGCATCTCAGGAGGTGACATTGAACGGGTTATATAAAAAATAAGAAGGAGCTAGCCATGCACGGGTAACACTGAATTTTAACGTACTTGGCTTTCTTTTTTTGTTTAAAAAAATTATTTATTATTATTACTATTTATTTTTTGGAGATTGGTCTTTACTGTGTTGCTCAGGCTGGAGTGCAGTGGTGCAATCACAGCTCACTGCTACCTCGAACTCCCATGCTCAAGCGATCCTCCCACCTCAGCCTCCCGAGTACCTGGGGCTAGGGTGCATGCCACCATGCCGGGTTAATTTTATTTTATTTATTTATTTTTCTGGTAGAGACAGAGTCTCTCAATGTTGCCCAGGCTAGTCAGACTCCTGGCCCCAAACAATCCTTCCATCTCAGCCTCCAAAACTGCTGAGATTACACGCGTGAGTCACAGTGCCAGCTGTCTAATATATTCTTTATGCATTTAAAAATATGTCGAGAAGCTGGACACGGAGGCTCACGTCTGTAATCCCAGCTTCTGGGGAGGCTGAGGCAAGAGGATCGCTTGAGCCTAGGAGCTCGAGGCTGCAAAGCTATGATTTCACCACTGCACTCCAGCCTGGGAGACAGAGGGAGACTTTGTATCTAAAAAAAACAAACAGCAACAAAAACCGTGCTAAGAATAGGTCCACAAGCTTTGCCAAAGGGATTAATTGGGACCATAAAGGTAAAGAACCCTGGTAGGGGCCAGGGTGGTGGCTCACGCCTGTAATCTCAGCACTTTGGAAGGCCAAGGCAGGCGAATCACTGGAGGTCAGGAATTCGAGATCACCATCAGGAGATGATGGTGAACCTCATCTCTACTAAAAATACAAAAAATTAGCTGGGCGTGGTGGAGCGCCTGTAGTCCCAGCTACTCGGGAGGTTGAGGCAGGAGAATCACTTGAACCTGGGAGGCGGACATTGCAGTGAGCCGAGATCGCACCACTGCACTCCAGCCTGGGCAAAAAAAAAAAAAAAAAAAACCCTGGTAGGGAAGGTGCAAGGAGTTAAAGGCAGAGGAAGATTTCCACTTGGTGGTGAGATGACTCTGCTAGTTTCCTTGCCCTACCTCCTCTTCCAGGATCCCATGCATCCCTGGAATAAGGCAGCCAGAAGGCCCATGACTTTTTGCCCACATGGATTGTGAAGGTGAGTGTGATGGGCTCAAGCCAGGCCAAGAGCTCAGGCGAAGGCCCAGTGACCTGGGGCGGGCCTGGCAGCAGCTGCCTCCAGCCCCGGTCCTCAATGCACCCCCTGTTGCCTGAGCAAGATTTTATTTCTCCTGGGGAATAAAATCACCCTCTTCAAACATAATTATTATCTGATTTCTTGCATTTGACGCTCCAGCGTGTTTTCAGGGACATGTTCTCTGTGAATGCCGAGGGCTGTGAACACATAGGAAAGAGGTAAGGGGTGGAGATGGGGGGAGGATTAAAGGATTAAACTGAAATGACTTGGAGCAATGCATCCCCAACAGGTTCAGGAGGCTGTTTACAAACTGTGGCAAAATTCACCTTCACTCAAACCTTTTATTTCCCCAGAAAACAATACAAATATAGCCAGGTGTCATAAAGTAGGTGTGTTTGAAAATTAATCATACGTGAACATGTATTCCCAATACTACATAGTTCCAAGAGGCCTCAGCTCCGCTTCTGAGCCATCAGCAAGTGGCAATGGCACCGTGCAATAAGTACTTCCTCATTCCTGGATCCTCTCCCCGGGGAAACCTGCCACCAAACATGTTCCCATAACAGGAGCACCCTGCTTAAAGAAACTCTGTTTCCAGTTAAGTTAAAAATTATTTTAAACCACTACTAAATGAACTCATCTTGTGTCTCAAAGACCAGTGTTCTCAGTAAGTTTAAATACTGAAAAATCAAAGCTAAGGCTTAAATACGTGAAATACATCAAAGTCTTGCCTGCTTCATGTACAATGGGACGCTCATTTCCAAAGAGAAGTATTTAAAATAACCAAGCAGTTATTTTATGACTCTAACAAAGAGATCTCTAACACCTGGAAGTATTTTTTTTAAGGAAGGTGACTTGAGTTACTCTAAGCAGGGAGCTCTTTCAGCTTGACGCAGAAACACTAAGGGGAGAATAGCCCCCCTCCTTCAAAAGCAAATTCTTGGTTTTTGGACTAAAGCAATTTAATCATTGATGGCTGTTAGTAAAAGAAAAGCTTTAAGATAGTCTAGAGATTCCACCAGGCAAGCACCGAAACCCTTTCCAGCACAGGACAAGAAAATATGTGGGTGGTGAGAAAGAAAGACAGGGAGAGATACTGAAAGAAAGAGAACAGAGAGAGAGAGAGAGAGAAAGAGAAAGAGAGAGAGAGAAGGAAGGGAGGGAGAGAGGGAGGGAGGGAGGGAATAAAGACCCCATACAAACAGTGAGAGAAAAGTCAAATCCAAACTCCTGGGAGTCTGGCATTTAACACACTTGATTTCTTTTCACCCCCTTATGTGGGAAGATGAAGAGAAGTTTAATCAGAAAACAAGAGGGGGTGGTAAGCAAAAGGATTTAGCAGGGTTTTGTTAAGAGTTCCATTTCCCTAGCAATGCGCTCAGGGTGTCCTTGAAAAAGACAGAAGTTTTGATTATAAGAGAAACACATGTTATGAAGAAGTTAGGCACAAATATTTCTGCAGAAAACCAGTGTGTTATCGGTATCCGCCTACTCCTCTCACAATGGTTCATTTAAATACTTATATTCAATGACACTGTGATTTTTTCATTTAGTATACAAGTTTAGTTGCAGAGAAAAGAACTTTCATTCATTCATCATGAAGCAGTTTTCTCTTTTGTTTCCAAGGACAACAATTTAAATATTCTACCTGATTAAAATTATTATTGTCCTTAGGCAAAACACAATAGCACCACAATATGCAATATATTTAAAATTTCATATCATTCCCATCGTCCTAAGAAGTCACTGTGCCTCTCTCCTAAATCGTTAAAGGTGAAAAACAAAAAAGCAAGTGCAGCCTTTAAGTTGAATAACGACAACCCTTTTGGATGAAAATGCAGCTATATTAAATTTTGCTTATATCGTTTATAACACTTGCATTATTTATATCCTTTATTGAAACACTTAAAACACCAGTTTTCTAACCAGCCCAAACACTTCCGAAGGCCATGAACTTTTCTGCAAAACCCTGAAGGTCTTAGTTATTTCTTCCCCTTTCTGCTGCCACTTCTGCACTTGGTTGTACAGATTTTACTTGCTTATGCTTTAAAACTTTAGCATCCTTGTTTCACTATCCCGGAGCATGTGCTAACGACCATTTCATGAGTATGTGACCTGCACAATCACTTTTGGTTTAGTGCTATGCTGAAACTGTCTTGAAATGTTTAATAATTTAAAGAAAGAGTCCCACATTTTCACTTTGCACTGGCTCCTCAATTTACATGACTGGTCCTGCATGTACCTAGTGGCAGCTGCGATAAGAAACTGTCCTTAAAAATGTCCAGGGGCCAGTACCTCTGATCAAATCATTTGGCACTTGAGATGTCAAATGCATCACCACCTCTAACAGAACACCAGCACTAAGACCCCAAGGTGGCTGGATCCACAGGATTAGAGCTACTTTCATTCCACTACATATCTAGAGGGTCATCTTACAGACAAAGAAATCATGTGAGTTACCTTTTACCTTATGCACCAACGGTAGACAAATACATTTAACAATAAAACACTCTGATTGCAGCTGCACAGAGTTAAATTACCTTGGTGTCATTCTCACTGGGATTGATAACTATATTTTCTCAGTTCTAGCACTATATTTTCCCCCAAAATTAAACCGCCTCTTTATAAACACATATACGTTGAACCTGGTAGTTTTTCTCTTTTTTCAAAAGGCTATTACTAGATTAAGGCTGTATATAACAATAATTGTCTTCATTGTCTCCAATTCTTTGCCTCACATTCTCTCTTCACTCAGCTCCGACTGAGAAGCTGTTCCTTTGCATCACTAAGAATGCCGGCCGGGCGCGGTGGCTCACGTCTGTAATCCCAGGCATTTGGGAGGCCGAGGCAGGTGGATCACGAGGTCAGGAGATCGAGACCATCCTGGCTAACACGGTCAAACCCCATCTCTACTAAAAATACAAAAAATTAGCCTGGCGCTCAGATGGCATGCGCCTGTAGTCCCAGCTACTCGGGAGGCTGAGGCAGAAGAATCACTTGAACCCGGGAGGTGGAGGTTGCAGTGAGCTAGGATCGGGCCACTACACTCCAGCCTGGCAATAGAGCAAGACTCTGTCTTGGAAAAAAAAAAGAATGCCCTTTGCAAGGTCCATAGCTTCCATCTTGGCAAACCCAACAAGCAGTTTACTTTCAGTGCACTTGAACCTGCAGCAGCTTTTGTCAAAAATGATCTTTCTCTCTTTCCTAAACCCTGTTTCTTTTGATCTCCACACTACATATGTCATGCTGCATACATACATCATACATCATACTACAGACTCGTGGTTTCCCTCACGCAGCTTCTCAGTCTCTTCTGCTGGTCATCCCAAACGTCTCCATGTGAACCGACTTCCTGTGGCGGCAGCACATGCTCATTCACCACACAGGTGCAACTGCATGGGGAACGCCTGGGAAGGAGTGTATTTTCCCAAAAAGCAGCCTTTAAAAAGGGGCAAGCAACATAAAGTATACCGAATTGAGGAGCAGAGGCCTGGGTTTTCCATCCTGTAGACCCAACACTTCCTTGTTCCATATTTTAAATCCTGACTTAGACAATGATATTAAAAAAGCATCAAATGGCCGGGCGTGGTGGCTCACGCCTGTAATCCCAGCACTTTGGGAGGCCGAGGTGGGCGGATCACAAGGTCAGGAGATTGAGACCATCCTGGCTAACACAGTGAAATCCCATCTCTACTAAAAATACAAAAAATTAGCCAGGCGTGGTGGTGGGCACCTGTAGTCCCAGCTACTCGGGAGGTTGAGGGAGGAGAATGGCGTGAATCCGGGAGGCGGAACTTGCAGTGAGCCGAGATGGCGCCACTGCGCTCCAGCCTGGGCAACAAGAGCGACACTCGGTCTCAAAAAAAAAAAAAAAAGATATTAGACAATCTCCCTGGACTTTTTTTCCAGCTCAAACACCCTGAGTTTAACCAATTCAGCCAAACTTGGCACAAGATCATCAGACTGCTTCATAAGATCTCACTCCTTCCAGCAGCTTTTTGTCACTATTTAACCAGAACTCCATATTCCTCAATCTTCATTCAAGTCTTGGAGACCTTTGGGAACAATTTTTAAAGGCAATGTGGTACTTCAGTTAAAACAAAGGTTTTTGGCTTACTGTTAAGAGGAAAAACTTCAAGGGTTCCAAAATTAAAGACACAACATATGAACAAGTTCAACTCAGTGACAACCCGGGAAATCTATTAAGTCAAACCAGTGCAGTTCAGGCCCCATCCACACAGGCAGTGCCCAGAACCATAAATTTCTCAGTTTTATTCAAAAAGAATAAAATATTTAGTAAAAAAAACTTAACCAAATAAATTCAAGACCAATACACTGAAAACCTATAAAATTCTTTTGAGAAATTAAGTTCTAAATGAATAAAAAGATAATTCTTATGTGTAGATAGGAAGATTCAACATGGTGAGAGAGCAATTCTCCCCAAATTGATCTATAGATTCCATCCGAGTCCAGCAATATCCCTTGGCTGTGTGTTTTGTTTTTTTTTTTGGTAGAAATTGACAAGCTGCTCCCTAGTTGCCTCAGGACCTTTCTCTTTCTCTCTCTCTCACTCTCTCTCTTTCTGCTCTCATTAAAAAATTAAAAATTTGTTTCCTTTGATTTCCTAAGTTCTTCCCTATATTTTTATTATGATAATACGGTGAGGGAAAATTTACTTTATGTCCAAACTTTGGTAATGAAGGAATCAAAACCCAGGCTGGACCACACTAATAGATCATTCTCTTAAATCACATTTATGTGAGTCTTGTTTAATGTATTTTCTTTTAAAACAAACTGGTAATACTCAAATGGTCTATCCTCACTACACACCCCACTATGATGTACACACAGAACAGTGAGTTTTCTCCCTTTCAGTTCTGGGTTGCACTTTCTACCCCCTCTCCTCCGGGAGCCCTCCCCTGCCTGTCTCCAGCCCCCAGGCTCCAGCTCTGAAGAAGGCTGGCAAGTTTAAGGGCCTCACTGGTTTCCAGGAGAGTGCCAGCTCTCTTTCAGCTCCTGGGGCTATGGGCCCAAGCAGCCCAAAGAGCCCTTCTTTGAATTTGGCATCTGTTTCCTCTTGGGGACTGCAATTCC